GATGACTTTTTTGATGTGTGTCTGTATGCATTTTGCAAGTATTTTGTTGAGAATTTTGGCATCTATGTTCATTGAGAATATGGGTCTATGGTTTTCTTTTTTGGTTGTACCTTTACCTGGTTCTATAATTGAAAATAAGTGGGAAATCCCTATATTTCTTCAAATATATTTTTCCAAGTTTAGAATGCTTGAAAGTTTGTTAAGATCTTATAGCTATCTCCTAAGTTTAAAATGTTATAAATTATTTCAGGAATAATATATCAAAATTTGTAAAATATCTTAACACTAAAATGGAGCCAATAGTTAAGATGGTCTAAAAATATTTGACAGTTTTACAAACTTAAAAATACAGTAGCTCTTCTTTTAGTGCTTTGCATCCAATTAGTTGTTGTCTTTTGCTTTTGTTATTGTTATTAGGAAAATACCATAATTCTTCAACAGCTCCTCCCGCTGCGAGCACAAGTGGCCAGACTACTTGGCTATAACACACATGCTGATTTTGTCCTTGAACTGAACACCGCGAAGAGCACAAGCCGCGTGGCAGCCTTTCTAGGTTAGTTCTGTCTTTAAGGTCAGTTGTGTGGCTTCCATTTCTTTCCCTTTGACTATGTTGCTGTATTGTATCCCCTTAACCTAGGGCCACAGGACCTGGGTTGCCTTGAGAAGAGCCTAGTTTTCACTCATTCAAGTGAAATGTATTGATCCCTTGTTACATTAGGTGAGCACATGCTTCTAGGGACTGCTGTGTGTGTTAATGTTCCAGTACCCAGTTTCTTCTAGTCATCTTCATTAGGGCCTTTGCTCTGTGTTTGACACATGATATGTATGGACTGACGGAGACTGCTCATTGCCATCATTCACTGCCTCTGGGTATTTGATGTTATATAGATCAATATAGTAATCTATACTAATATATACATATATATGTATATATGTATACACATATATATGTAATGGATACTTAGAGATTTTATGAAATAAGGCAAAAAATGATATAAAATGAAAACAACATACATAAACAAAAATTATCATTTTATCCTCTAATAGCCATTTGTTAATATATAAAGGTAATATAAAATAGGGTGCATCAAAAGTGTTACCTAATAACTATGTTCACATTCATTTTAAGTCATTTTTCGTAAATCTTTCAAAAACTAGGGTTGGGCAATAGTGATAGCACATGTATGCCCTTAATAACCTAGCATTCAAGACAGAGGCAGGCAAATCTCTGTGAGTTCAAGGTCAGCCTGGTCTGTGTAGAGTTCCAGGCCAGCCAGAGCTACATAGCAAGACCCTGTAAAGAAAAAGAGGGAGGCAGGGGGGAGGGGGGGAAGGGAATAAAGAAAAAAGAAAGAAATTCAGTGTCATCTCTGGGTCTCCATGTGCACCTTCACACACATGTGCCCACACCCACACAAACACAGTGCACATATGCACAGATATCCCTCTACATACTCATGTGCACACATGAAAACAAAACAGGGTACCTATGTCCCTGCATTGAGTCTGTGGTACTCTATCATTTTCCCATCCCCTTCTCAATTTAGTGTCATGCATAATCCCAACAGTTACTTTGATTTTTCTTCCTCTTTAGTGAACATGATTGAATAATTTAACATGGAAAAGATGCTAATTGTTATTGTAATCATTGTTAATCAGAGTTGGCCAAAGAATGATTTTTTTCCAGTTTTTTCACTAACCCTTTTAATACTTTTTACACCATCAAGAACTTGTGTAATTAAGTTGGAACTGATTATGGTTATAATTGGGCATGGTGGTACCCACCCACAATCCCAGCAGTTGGGAAGCTGAAACAGGATGATGCCTTGAGTTTTAGGCCAGCCTGAACTAGCTACATAAGCAAGAAACAAGTCAGAGAGCCACAGTGTGAGACCCTGTCTCAATAAACCAAAAACTAAAATAAAATAATAAAAATGGATTAAAATTCAGCCATTTGCACAAAATTTACTACTCTATTTTTCTTCAGTAATTATATTGTGATTTATTCATATATATGGTAGAATCATATATGACATAAACAGGTATTCTATAAATGATATTTATTATACAATTCATTTGTGCATTGTGAGACATTTGTGAAATAACTACCTGTATTAGGAGTAGTTGGCAGTGTGCTAAATGGTAGAGCCACAGAACTGGGTAAGACAAAGTCCTTTTTCTGGTGTCTCCACTCAGTAAAAATACCATAGACATGAACAGATAACTCCTGTGTGGTTCCACGCGTGTTATCCAAGAAGACGGCTCAGCTCAGGGACTTCGTAGGTTTGCTAAGAGTGCTTCCTTTAGTGGCGACTGCCTGTGCTGAGATGTCTCCCTAGTGACTACCTGATTAACTTAATCCTTTAGGGCAGTTTCCCCTCTGACATGAAATTGACCTCTTGCTGCCTGTTTTCACCTGTCTTCTCATAAGCCTAATGAAAACTGTATTACTCTGATCTTCCACAAATTTTCTTCTTTCTCTTCATAGCTTTCCGTGGGACGCTGCCATCATCTCATACCTCTGGGCTGCCCTTAACCTGTGTTCAGTACAGACACAAGCATATCTTTACCTTAACATATATAAAGTTTGCGAAAATAAATACATAAGAGCTTATTCATTTAACCAAATTCAAAAACACACAAATAGTCAGAATGTGGCTACAGTATATAAATTGTGGTGCGCAGAGATTTCTCCAGCAAAAACTAGAATTGCTCTATCCAGATCCTCTTGTCTTCAGAATGGGTTACTGGAATTCCTGCCCATGGTTAAATGTACTGAGCAACTTCTAGAGGACATTGCCTGAAAGTCACATCTGAGTTGCTTCCTCTGCCTTTAATGGGATCTTAATCTTATAGAAGAAAACCACTTGTGAGCTTAGTTTTACTATTTCTTTGTTCTGAATTATAGTATTCTTGGGCCAGAGTTCTTGAGGTAAGCTTCACCATTGTTGATGTTGTACAGAAATCATGACTGGGTTCTGGTGTAAAAGAAAAGGGACAAAGAATCATAAAATAAGTCACTCGGGAGAGAAAAATCTGTCCCTGTAGAGCTGACTTTGCTCCTCACTCATAGTTTCCTCTGACTGGTCATGCACAGAAGGCAGTGCATGTGAAAGCACCTGCTCCCAAGGACAGCTCAGTAACGCTTCCCATTTTCCTCACAGATGATTTAAGCCAGAAATTAAAACCCTTGGGGGAGGCAGAACGGGAGTTTATTTTGAACTTGAAGAGAAAGGAGTGTGAAGAGCGAGGTTTTGAATTCGATGAGACAATCAATGCATGGGACCTCCATTACTACATGACACAAACAGAAGTGCTCAAGTACTCCATCGACCAAGAGTTCCTCAAGGAATACTTTCCCATCGAGGTGGTCACCAAAGGCCTGCTGAGCATCTACCAGGAGTTGTTGGGACTTTCATTTGAGCAAGTGGCAGATGCTCATGTTTGGAATAAAAGTGTTACACTTTACACCGTGAAGGATAAAGCCAGCGGAGAAGTACTGGGACAATTCTACCTGGACCTGTATCCAAGGTACTAAGGGTTACATGCTGGAAGCAACCTTAGGGATTCAAACATCCATCAGTTTAAGACTCTTCCATTTCATGTTTCCCAAGTGTGGTTCTTAAGAGAGGGCTTAATGAATGTCTAGCTTAAACACTTACTGGACAAGGTATCAAATTTTTCAATGCTGTTTCCTTATATGCATTGTAAGTCCTAAAAGATGGGAATACTTGTACCACCACTTTTGTTTACTCTTATGCTTCTGTCCCGTGGGACTGATAATCTCTTTACTGAGATGTTCAAATTCCCAACTATTCTTCAGTGATAGAAATTGCAAATATTTTTTAAAAATGCAGCATAGAAAAAAAACTTTAAGCCAGAAGTGGTAGCACAGACCTTTAGTCCCAGCACTTGAGAGGGAGAGGCAGGGCAATCTCTGTGAGATCAAGGCCAGCCTGGTCTACATGGTGAGTTCTAGGCCACCTGAGGCTACAGAGAGACCCTGTCTCAAAAGACCAAAAAAAAGTTGCAAATATTTATTGTTTGAAGCATGTAACTACAGACTGTATGTTTCATCAGACGCAAATCATTTTGATATTTTTCTCTCTAAGCAACTTTCTAAAACAAAGCCAATCTATTGCAATTACTAACCCATTTTACTAAATAGACCAAAGGGATATGGCACCCCTTAGTTCAGCAGGCAGTGGGTTCGTGATCTGCTGACCCTGCCTGCTTAGAAGGAGGCTAAGTTGTCATCCATTTGGTGGGTAAAAGTTCTTTGGTGCCTAGGTTATCCCAAATCTTTGTGAAGGTAACTTTCACCTATGGTATGACTTCAGATTAAAACCATATCTACTATAGATAGGTTTATTTTTTTTAAAGAATATCAGGGGGGGCTGGAGAGATGGCTCAGTGGTTAAAAGCACTGACTGCTCTTGCAGAAGACCCGGGTTTGATTCCCAGCACCCACATGGAGGCTAAGAACCATCCTTAACTCCAGTTCCAGGGAACAGGTGCACTTATAACACATGCAGGCAATATACTCATACACATAAAGTAATAAATAAAATTTTTTAAATTAAAAAAAAATATCAGGAGCTGACTCAGTAGGTAAGGACACTTGCTGCCAAGCCTGATGACTTGAGTTCAATTCTGACCTCCATATGCACCCAGTGGCATGCACACACACATAACACAACACACACACATCAGTATACAGGTTTTTAAATTCTTTTATTTATTTGTATTTTATGTATATAATGTTTGCCTGAAATGCCCACAGAGACTAGAAGAGGGCATCAGCTCCCTTGGAACTGGAATTTCAGATGGTCTTTAGCTGCCATATGGGTGCTGGGAACCAAACCCAGTTCTTTTGGAAGAGCAGTAACTGCTCTTATCCAGTGAACCATCTCTCCAGCCCCATTATACAGTTTTAAGCCAGTACTTAAAGAGGCAATCCTTTGGGCTAGCAAGATGGCTTGGTATGAATACCTACAGGCTAAGCAGAATGAAATGTTAGCAGACTCACTACCATGTCTGGTGACAAGATCCATAGGTCCTTTCCCTTCTGCCTGCTTTTTCCTCTTGTGTCCTTATTCACTCCTCACTCAGTCTGCCACACTGTTCTATGTTTTGTTGTGTTTTTTTTTTTAATCTAAGTATTTAATATGAGCAATGATGTTTACTCTAACAATCCTTAAGCTGCATATTGTGTTGTAGCTCCATTTTCATCCCAAAGCAAGAGTATATTCTCCTTTCCTCTGTCCTATGGATTAAATCTGAAGTATCTTTTAACTATGTGGTGGTATTTCTAAATATCTTTTTTACTATCTCTAGTTTGATGGGGGGTGGTTGTGGGTGTTTTGGGTTTTTTTTTTTCAGTCTTTTTGAGACAGAGTCTCCCAGTAGCACCAGCTGGTCTGGAACTCACTATGTAGACGCAGTCTCCCAGTAGCCCCAGCTGGTCTGGAACTCACTATGTAGACCAAGCTGACCTCGAACTCACAGAGATCTGCCTGCCTCTGCCTCCCAAGTGCTGGGATTAAAGGCATGTGCCACCACGCCCAGCTCTAGTTTGGTTTTATTGTGGTTGGAGTGTGTGTGTGTGTGTGAATAATAGATATACTTTATATGGTTTTTTAAATTGAAATAATTTTGTATAGCCAATATCTGGTCAATTTTGGTGAAGGTTTTGTGTTCACTTGAATGTGTGGTTTGGTATTGGATGGAGTTGGGTAGAGTTGACCAATAGCATTCTTCAGATCTATATACCAGCTGTTATATTTTGTCAGATTGTCAGGTCAAATATCAAGAAGGGTGACATTCTCTAAATAACTGCAGATTTGTCCATTTCTCCTTCACTTCTATCAGGTTTTGCTTCATGTATTTTAAAGCTCCACTTTTAAGGTTGTTACCTGTCCTCAGATTTGACCCTTTTATCATTATACATATCCCTTGTCATTGTGGACATTATTCCTTGCTCCAGTGTTCACTCTGTCTGCTATGATAGCCATGTCACTTTGCTGTGACTAGTATTTCCATGGGATATCTTTGCCATTCTTCCATGTTTACCCTGTATCTCTTTACCCACTTAAAAATGATTTCTGCCGGGCATGGTGGTGCACACCTTTAGTCCCAGCACTCGAGAGGCAGAGGCAGGCGGATCTCTGTGGGATCAAGGCCAGCCTGGTCTCCTTAGTGAATCCAGGCCAGCTGGGGCTACAAGGAGACCTTGTCTCAAAAAGACCAAAAAAAAAAAAAAAAAAAGGGATTTCTTACAAGTCATAGTTAAAGTTTCTCTTAATCCACTCTGATAATATCTTAACTGGTGGATGTGCTTATACCAATTTCCTTTACATTACATGCTTAGATCATTTGTATTTAATAATTGCTTATTGTATTATGGTCTGCTGCTTGATGAGATGTTTTCTGTTTGTTGCCTCTGTACTTTGTTCTCTTTTCTGCCCTTTTTTTGGTTAGTTGAGGATTTTTTTTTAGTGTGTGTGAGTGTGTCTGAATGTTTGTAAGTGCACCCATGCATGCAGTGCCTGAGGAGGTCAAAAGAAGTCATCAGATCCCCTGGCATTAGAATTGCAAATGGTTGTGAGCTACCATGTGGGTGCTGGGAACTGAACCTGGGCTTCTGTGAGAGCAGCTAGTGCTGTTAGCTGCTGAGCCATTTCTCCAACCCTGAGAATTTTTTTATTTTCAATATTATCTCTACTTTTGGCTTTTTATTTATATCCCTCTTAAATTTTTGCTGATGGCTACACCTAATTTTATAATATACACCCTAAATTTTTAAAACTTTTTTACATCTATTTGTGTGTATGTATGTGTATACAGCACACACACATGCACATGCCACAGCATGTGTTGAGGTCAGAGGACAACTTGGAGAAGTTGACTGACTTTCACCATGTGAGTCCTGGAACCAAACTCAGGTTCTCAGACTTGCAGCAAGTATCTTTAGCTGATGAGCCATCTTATCAGCCCATCTTTTTTTTAAGACAGGGTCTCACAGTGTAACCCCAACTGGACTTTGTAGACCAGACTGGCCTAAATGCACCTGCCTCTGACTCCTGTGTGCTGGGATTAAAGATCTGTGCTACCATGCCTGGCTTTCTTTTTACTAGTCAGAGAAAGAGAGGGATGGGGGAGAGAGAGAGAGAGAGAGAGAGAGAGAGAGAGAGAGAGAGAGAATTAAGAAGGATATTTAACCACATGTGTACATGCCACAGTGCTAGTGTGGATAGTGTGGAGAGATCAGAGGACAACATGAGAGAGTCAGGTCTCTTATTATGTGTTCTAAGACTCAAACTCATTAGTCATACCTGGCCACAAACACAGAGCCATCTCACTGGTCCCACAATCTACATTTTTAATCAGCCCCCTCTTCCAATAATATCATGCTGATATTGAGATGCTGTCTCATAAAACCAAAGGAAAATAAAATCAGAGAAGTAATTTCATTTATTTGTTAAATTTTCTTTGTTCTCTTTGGTTAGAACAAAACTTCTCTTCCTTGACAATTATTTTTGATTTTTAAAACTTTTTTAGTTATTTTTACTTATGTTTGTGTGTGTGTGTGTGTGTGTGTGTGTGTGTGTGTGTGTGTGTGTGTGTCTTTGTAAATGCCATGTTTGACAGGTGATTGTAAACCACCCAATGTGGGTGCTGGGAACCCAACTTGAGTCCTCTGGAAGAGCAGCAAGTGTTCTTAATTGCTGAACCATCTCTCCAGACCCCTATTTTTTTATTTTCAAAGGGCCTGATTGGTGGTTGTACCTTAGCCAGATTTTACTTCTTATATGGTTGGCATATATAATATCTGAAGTATCGTGAAGTTTATTTATTTAAATATAAAAATATTAGTGCTTTAAGCGGTTATTCTGAACAAGTAAATATAGGCATATTTACAGTTACTTTCATTCCATCTCAAGAACTGTTCGTTTCTTTGTAGACCTAGGTTTGAAGCTAGCATCAACTCTCCTCTATCTGAGGAACTTCTTTTAAAATGTCATGTTTCAAGTCAAAAGGCAGTGTATTCTCTATTTTTGCTTGTCTGAGAAAATCCTTGTTTTTCTTTCATTTTTTGGAACATATTTTTGCTGTACAGGAAATTCCAGATGTTTTCTTTCTGTCCTTTAAAGATGCCATGATTTGAGATGTCTTCTGACTTACACAGTTTCAGATGAGGCATCTTCTGTAGTTCCTGTCTTCAGCGCTCCATGTCATATAGAAGTTTTCTTGTGCATTTCTTCTGATGCCTTCAAGGCTGCTTTTTCAGCACTCACTTTTAGCTCTTGTTTCAGTATTCTTAGGCAAACAGGATACTTTTCCTTCCTCTTGTTTTGTATTTATATTAATTTGTGTACTTGGAGTTTCTTGGATCTGCGGTTTGGTGTAATTAATTTTGGAAAACACTTGTCTGTTGTTTCTGCAAATGTTTCTTCTCTCCTCAGAGATTCTCTTTACATATGTGATAGATCACTTGGCAGTGTTCTGTTTTATTTTGTGTTTTTTTCTGTGCTTTTTAAATTATGCTTTAGAGAGTAATTTCTATGATCTTTTGGGTCAATAATTCTTTCCTTGTTTGTGGCAGATCTTACTAGCTTCTCAAAAACATCTTTATCCTCATTTTTCCTTCTTTCATTTGTTTGTTTCTTTTGAGATAGAGTCTTGCTATGTAAGCCAGACTGTTCTTAAATTCACTGTAGCCAGGCTGGCCCAGGACTCACCATCCTCCTACCCTAACCTCCCTGGAGCTGGGATTACAGCTATAAACCAACTGAACTGATTCTTTCTTACAGTTTCCAGCTCTCTGCTACATTGTCCACGAGACAGCACAGCATCCACTTTTTCTCTAAGCCTTTGTGCATATTGGTTTGGTTATTTTATTTTATTGCCTTTATTTTATTTTATTTTTATCTTTTTTTTTTTTTTTTTTTCCTTTTGAGACAGGGTCTTTTTGTTGTCCCAGCTGGCCTGAACTTACTTTTTAGTGGAGCAGGCTGGCCTTGAACTCACAGAGATTCACCTGCCTCTGCCTCTCGAGTACTGCAATTAAAGGCATGCACCACCATGCCCAGCAGTTATTTTATTTTAGATACTCATGCTGTGGCATCTTTGTCATGTGTGAATCTTGTTCTCCTGTTTGTTTTGCTTTTTGACACTGTATTTTTTTCTTATATCTTTGTAGGCCTTAGAAATTGATTGAAAGCTAGGCATTTTAATAAGATAGAAAAGACTAAGGTTAATAATTTTATGTCTAAAATTTGTCCTACATTTACCTGTGGTAGGCTTTTGAGGTGAGGTGTAGATTCATTTAGTAGTCAGCTAGGTCACAGGGCCACCACTGTCATCATTAACCTCCGTGTGCTACAAGCTTCATATTGCTTTATCTTGTGTTTAGAGGTGATTTCCAGTTTTTTCTTGGTTTCTGTTCCATCCAAGGTCTCGCTGTCTCGCAGCAATGGGCTACAATAATCTGTTATTGGTGAATGCTTGTTAGCTTGATTAGAGCCTGGGAATTCTCTATTGCTTTGATTCAGCATCAATTTTTTGGTTGCTGTTTAGTTTGTCTTTTTTTTTTTAACGTGTATGAGTATATTGCCTGCATGTAGGTAAGTGCACCCATGTCGGGTGATGTCCATGGAGGACAGAAGAGGCTGTCGGAGCCCCTGGAACTGGAGTTACAGACAGTTGTTAGCTGCCATGTGGGTGCTGGGATTCGAATCCAGGTCTTCTGCAGGAACAACCAGTGTTCTTAACTGCTGATCCATCTCTCTAGCCCCTAGTTTGTCTTTTTTTTAAACTTATGACCTTTCTTCCTCAGCCTCCTGGATTCTTGTGTCCTTGTATCTTAGGAGTAGGGCCTAGTCAGTGATCCTGCCTCACCTGAAGCTGTAGGTCTGAGCACATGATGTATTTCTGTCCTTCTGCCAAGACCAGATGCCTTTTTTCTGTTCCCTTCCCCAGTGCACTGGGTTTCCGCTGCAGCTCTAAGAACAGTGGGGTGTTTTGCCCTTCCTGGGGATATTCATTCTGTAGGAGACAAGTGCAAAAGCATGTAAGTGATGTTTCCCGCCCTTTCTTCCGCTGATGCTTACTCGGGGTCTTACCCCATCCCTATCTGTCTTGTGAGCACTGGTAAGGACTACAGAGAAGATACTTAAAGTGATATCAGTTCTCCCATGTGTACAGCCCTGTGGTTCCCTACTTTGGATAATGCCACACCTGTAACTTTTTGCTGAAATTTTCTCTTACTGTCATCTTCAGTGTCTGCCTAGGTTGAAGGGGGGAAAGAGGCTTGCTTCCACTCCTCACTCCCTGGAGACCCCTGTGTTAGACTATGGGTCCTTCTTCCCCCTCTGTCCTTAGAGGCATCTGTCTTTAGATTGTGGGCTGGTTGATTGTCCTTCCACAGCAGCTCTCTGGTGGATTCAGAAAAGCCAGGATTTGCAGAATGTCCAAGATGTCATTGTTGGTTGTAGTAGAGACAGGAGCAATTCACTTTCCAGTTCTATGCATCTAAATAGGAGCCAGAAAAATATTATTTTCTTTGAATGGCATCAGTAGAGAATTGCCAAGAAAAAAAATAATATAGAAAAAATATACAGGGGTTAGAGAAATGGTTCAGCAGTTAGGAGCACTGGCTTCTCTTGTAGAGGACTCATGTTCAAAACCCAGCACCCAAATGATGGCTAACAACCATCTGTAACTCCAGTTCCAAGGGATCCGACATCTTCTGATCTCCATGGGCATTGTATGACACAGGTGCACTCACATGCCTGTAGGCAATACACTCATACACATAAAAAAATTAATGTTTAAAATTTTTTTAAAAAGAACTATACAAATAAAAAATTAAACTAAAAATAGAAAGAAAAAAAAAAACCTAGCCCAAATCTGAATGCACCATTTAGTTTTCTGAGAAAAAAATGTAAGTGTAATAATGAAGCCCCACAGTGAGATTCAACGACACATTTTTGGAACAACAGCCGCTGATACCACACTATCCAAGAATAGACAACTTCACAGTATAATGTATACTTTGTGCCAAGTTCACTAAAATAATTCTGTCTCCAAATGGTCCATCTAGCTTAAAAATCACTGCATTTTGTTGTGAGCACTGACTCCAGTAAATTGAATGAAAGAAAAAGCCTCTGGAATTTAGGTGTTTTTTTTTTTTTAAATCAGTTCTCTTTTTTCTTTATTTTCATTTTACATGTATGAATGTTTTGCCAACATGTAAGTGCACCCATGCATGCAGTGTCCATGGAGGCCAGAAGAGGGTGTCAGATCCCCTGGAACTGGAGTTATACTTGTTTGTTAGCCATCGTGTGGGTGTTGGGAACCAAACCCAGGTCCTCTGAAAAACCCCCAGTGCTCTTAACTGAGCCACCTCTCCAACCCCTTATCAGTTCTAATTTAAAGGAAGAAAATTACCTAGTCACTCAAAATTCCTTTTATTTTAAATTTGCTTCAGTGTTACATAATGTTTAGATGAAAATCAGGAGCTCATTAAAATAAACTGGGCAAAACTGGGGTTATAGCTTAGTGGTAAAACACTTGCCTAGCATGCATTTGACACTGGATTTGGTCCACAGTACACACACACACAATCACACACATATGAGCAGGTATGCACTCATGCACATATGCACACATCACACATGCACTCATGCACACACACACAGAGACATGCACAGGTATGTATGTGCCCACACACATACATGCCGTTGGGCTTTGTCTACATACTAGGTGTGGTGTGCGTTTTCATTTTTTACATTAACAGTTTTCAGATAAAGATACCTTAGAGAGATAGGGTACAGCAAGGTGATGCTTGGGTCATTATTTTCAAGGTGCACTAAACATTTAGAAATGTCTTCAAGTGTAAATATGACCTAAGGAAAAGACTATGCCATGTTTTCACTGTAGAGGACTTTCCATTTCTCTGTTCTATGTTTTTGGTTCCCAGGGAAGGAAAATACAACCATGCAGCCTGCTTCGGTCTCCAGCCTGGCTGCCTGCTCCCTGATGGCAGCCGAATATGTCTGTGGCCGCCCTTGTGGTCAACTTCTCACAGCCAGTAGCAGACCGGCCCTCTATCCTCAGACACGATGAAGTGAGGACTTACTTCCATGAGTTCGGTCACGTCATGCATCAGATCTGTGCACAGGTGAGTGATCTTTCATGGTAAACCCTGGTTGCCTTTCTAGTTTTTTCTTATATTTTTGCTGCTGTCAGTTTTCTCTCAACGTATTTTTTTTAGAACATGAACATGTTAGAGAATTTGTAAGCCTGCAGAGACAGTTTTCTTTGTCACATCCTCTCCCGGTGTGTTTTTACTTGGAGGTTAGCCACTGATGAAAGATCTTTCTGAATCTCTGCTTTTGGAGGAACAAAGCCATCACAAGAAAGGGTTGTAAATAGTGTGTTCTTTCCTTTTAATTATTTTCATCTCCCTAGGAATTTGGTGTCTGCCTCACAGATCAACACCCATAGCTGCCTCCATACATCAGTGGCTTCCTACCTTCTCACACCCTTTATTCCTTCTCTACTACTCAGTATTTTGGGACACCCAAATTAATTAATTCTTCCAATTAAGAACATAACTAATATAACCATGCAGAGCCAGGTATAGTTGCATGCACTTGTAACCCAGCACTTGGGAGGCAGGCAGGAGGAGCAAAATAAATAAATAAATAAATAAATAAATAAATAAATAAACCATGCAGAGAAGTTTCCAGTAAAAAGATATGTGTGCAGTGGATTGAAAGAGATTTTATGCCAGAAGTAAGTGTGTGTGTGTGTGTGTGCGTGTGTGTGTGTTCATGTATGTGCAGTTGCAAATTGTGTGTGAAGGGCACATGGTATTCCTCCATCATGTTTTTTGAGACAAGGTCTCACTTAGACTTTGCACTTGCCAATTAGGTGAGGCAGGCTGGCTACCAAATGCCAGGTATCCACTTGTCTCCACCTCCCAAGTGCTGAGATTGCAAGCATGCCTGACTTTCTCAGATGGGTTCTAGGGATTGAACTCAGGTCTTCATGCTTATACAGCAAGTACTTTACCAGCTAAGCTATCTCCCCAGCCCAGGAAAGTGATTTTTGTTTGTTTGGTTTTTTGTCTATTTTTGGAGAAAGAATCTGATTATTTGTAGCCCCGCTGGCCTTGAATTTGTGATCCTCTTGCCACAGTCTCCCAAGTGCTATGCTCTGTTTTTATTGTTTTGTTTGCTTTTTGCAGGGCTGTGGGGTGAATCTAGGGCTTAAAGATCATGCTAGGCAAGCCCTATACCACTAAGTCACACACACCACCTAAAAAGCACACTTATCTCAAGGCCCTGGGTTTCACTGCCAGTACCAGAAAGTTTATGCTCAACTTTATAATGCAGTCAATTTAACTAGGCCCAAACTATTGTGGTTTAAAAGTCATGAACCTGTTACTAATTAATCACTTTTTACATTATTAACCTTTAATCATTTAACCTAATCTTTTAAACATACTGATACCAGAAATGGAGAAGCAGTTTTCCAAATTTGAAATTTCTGTGCACTTCTAAAGATCAACTTTTAAAAATAACCTAGTTACTAGAACTCTTTTAAGTTTATGGAAATGTTGGCAAGATGGCCTATGCAATTTCACATTGTTTCTCCTACATTTACCATTGCATTACTGTAGTATATTTCTCTACCTAAGAACCCAGCTCTGGCACAGCACCAATAAACACTGCTTTGAGACTCCTCTAGTTTTTCTTTTATCTTTTCTTTAATATATATTTTTGTTGAATTTTTGTACATGTCATGCAATACATCTTAATCATATTTAGATCCCCCTCCCCCATCTGCACATCACATATCCCCCCCACACTAGATTTCATTCATTCTGTGATATATGTTAAGGCCTATCAAGTCAAGTTTATATTCCTAGAGGTCCCTCAGTGTAAGTTCATCCACTGGAGCCTTGTCAGCCTATCTAGCATCACTCCCCCTCACCCAACAGTGATCAGCTGCCAGTAGTTCCTCATCTAATGTTGGGGTTTCTTGCCCATTTCCAAGTTCTATGCTGGGCTTTTGTCTGGCTTGAGTTTGCGTGGGTTGTGCATGTGTCACCATTGCTGTAAACTTAAATGAGCAAGTTCCCAGAAGCCTGGAAAACTTTTTTCTCATGGTCATCCACCACCCGTGGCTCTTAGAATCTTTCTGCCCCCCTCTTCTGCAATTGCCTGCAAGCCCTGGGTGGGTGAGGTTTAATACAGGAGTCATGTCCAGGGACATGTGCTCTGTAGCCTCTTATTCTCTACATTTTGGCCAATTGTGACTTTCTGTGTTAATTGCTCTCTGTTTCATATGGAAGCTTCCCTGGGGAGAGTTGAGAGATACATTGGTATCCCCTCTACCCCATGTTTCACAGTGTTCTGTGAGCCTTAGGTGTAGAGGTTCCATTGTAGATGTGTCACTTAGGGTTGGGCATCTCACAGACACTTATTCTCTGTGTGTGACCAGGTGTGAAACTCTGAATAATCCCCATCTGTTGAAAAAATAAGCTTTTTGATAAGCAGTGACAGGTATACGTGACAGGTGTACTTTTTAAAAACAAGGATACATATTTTTCGTATAGTAAGAATATTCTACTTTTTTTCTAATATCATCTTTTTTTCTTTTTCTGTGCAAAGAATGTTCTTAAATCCCTATCATAAGGAACATAATTGAAAGACATTTTTCATTTTTCCAATGGTAATTCTTGAGCTTGGCTGTGAGCTCAGCATAATGGAATAATCAGGATTTGCCCTGTCTGGAAATAGCCAGGAATGGAACAGCAGCAAGTGCAGGCTAATAGAAGTGGTTCGTGTTGTGGTGCTGCCAGTGGTGGTGTGATTTCTCTATAGTGCACACCTCCTGGAAAAATCTCCTCCCAAAAGGGTAATCTTGCTTTGATATCCACAGCAGAGTGAGTAGTTGTAGTCTCTGAAATCAAAATTCTGTAAAAAAAGGTTTGCAAAAATATATATAATAGAGTTAGTTCCTAGGCTCACTTAGCTGTTAAAAGCTTTTATGAATGGCCTGTGGGAACACTCAAATAACAAGCAGGACGTGGAAGACTTGCTTTTGTTTTCCTGGCTTATGAGGGATCTGTTCTAGGCATCTATCATCCCTAGCCCCAGAGTAGCCCCTAATTGTTGTATTAATATAAAATGTACCTATTTGCTTCCAAAATATGACCAGCACCTTTGTTTAACAACTAGTTCTTGAGGCAAACGAGACGGCTCAGTAGGTAGAAGCATTTGCCTTGAAAGCCTAATGACCTGAGTTTGATCCCTAGAGCACATGTGAAACAGGAGAACCAACTCCCAAAAGTTGTCCTCTGACTTCCACATACACATGTGACCACACACATACACACATCACACATCATACCTGCATACATGCAAAAACAATGAAATAAAATAAAAATTTTGTGCTGATTATTTCCTTTTTTAATTTATTATTTTTATTTTGTGTGTATGAGTGTATTACCTGCCTGTGCACCTGTATCGTGCAGTGCCTGTAGAGGTCAGAAGAGGGTGTCAGATTCCCTGGAACTGGAGTTAGGGACAGTTGTTAGCCGCCATGTGGATGCTGGGAATTGAACCCAGGGTCCTCTGGAAGAGCAGCCAGTGTTCTCAACTGCTGGGCCATCTCTCCAGCCCTGCTTTTGCCTTTTATAGACACAGATTTCTGTATCTGCAACTTTGTAAGTTCAGAAAACTTTTGCACTGATAGAAAAATGGATGGTATAAGGAGATATAGTTAATAAGGAGATTCATAACTTCTATGTTCAGTAATACTTCTGAATGTGCAGCAGATCAGTTTTAAGATATTACACCTCATTGAGTTCTCCACTGTGACAGTCTGAAGGTTTAATGACCGGGAGCTCACTGGAGCTTGTCACAGTAATATTTAAATGCATCTTCAGGAACTTCCAGTTTTCAAACATGTGGATGCCCTAGTTCACTATGTTTGCTGTGTCCTCCTTCAAGAGTAGAGTTTCACTGTGTTTTCTTATGTTTACACTGCCAGGGAGGTAATTTGGAAGATAAGATCAGGAAGGTATCTCCAGTATCTGTTCCTGTCTCATGGATCTCTTGTGGTTTGTGCTCTTGGTAATCCCTGGCCCTTTGAACTGCAGAATGGAAGAGTAAAGCGTCTCACCACCTTCATAATAATGTCTTCATATTAAAAGCAGTAACAGTTTTGAACTATAAAGAGATCATTATTTTAAGGAAACACTAGAATCACAAATACTTTCATTAAAAGTGAAAAGGATGCTGGGTGTGGTGGGGCCATGGTAGGGCAGGCCTTTAGTCCCACCACTTGAGAGGGGGAGGCAGGTGGGTCTCTTGAGTTTGAGGCCAGCCTGGTCTATGTTTAAGAGTCTGTCTCTAGAGAACAACAACAAAAGATGTGGAAGGGATGTACAGAGTCAGGCAAACTTCAAATTCTGTGGTTTGAAATAACACTAACATACTGTTTGTCTGCTCTAAATATTTGAACTACTTTAGAGAGACAGGTCCTGTTGGGGGTACTCTGGTGTTGTGAAAAGAACACTGAATTTTAAATTATTTATATAGGGCTGAGGGTATAGCTCAGTGGTGGGGTATTTGCTTACCATATGGGACTCTGGGTTCAATCCCATGGACCACATCCAAAGAAAAAAGAAAAAGCGATGCGGCTGGATGGATGTTGTTTGGCCTTTTCAAACCCTTTTGTTTTTTATATTCATAAAATAGAGACAGTAGTAGTTCTCTGGCATGTTGGGGAAATTAAGATGTAAAAAGCACTTAAAAACCTGTGAAGTACATTGTATATTTTATTTTATTTTATTTATATTTTTTTAGAAGAAGCATTTCATTATAGCTTTAACATACTCAATAACAATTTCCAGAACAAAGATACATCTCTTTATTTTTTAAGAATGCGCATTTCATTACAGCTTTAACATACTCAATAACAGTTTCCAGAACAAAGATACATCTATTTTTTAAGAATGCCTTTTTTGATATTTTAGTATTTTTATAACCATGTTTATGTATAATTCAATCCTTTTAGGATCAAAACTGAAGAAAGGGAGAGGGAAGGGAAGGGGGAAGGAACAGAAAGATCAGTTGCCTCGAGGGAATTTACAGTCCTTTAGGT